ACAGCATAAGATGAATGACAGCCACCAGGATAAATGTCCTGGCTAGTCTCCACAGTGACGTGGTTGTCTATTGTACGGGGTATACATTTTCAAACAGTCTGCAATCCTCTCAGTGATTTGTTTTTCTCACAATATAATTTCCTGATAAAGTTTTTATTAATCTTACTCTAGATTTATAAATACTATTATTATCTATTATTTAGTCTTTTGCTATAACCTTTTGGAACCATAGGGCAAATCTAGGACTTCATTTAGTCTTAAAACAAACATCTGCACCAAAGAACTTTCGATGTAAATAAAAAACCAAGAGACAGCAAAATTTGGTGGTCATCAAATACAAAATACACATAATTCTGGAGACTCAGTACAGTCAGTAAGAGAAGTGCCAGATAGATCTGTACTTGTTCCTCTTACTCATCACCATTTTTGTAGATTACTGTTTGACTGTTGAAAGCAGAACACCAAAGAGACAAAAGAAACTCCTGCCCAATTCCTTTAGGTCCTCAGATTTGTCTATTTTCTCTGTTAGTCCCATAGCCACCTCTATCAGTGACTCCCAGGTTTACCCAAGAGAGGTACCTAGTGTTCCTGTCGTTCACTATCCAGTGCATGTTCTTGCAGGTTCTGGGGAATGGCCACCTGGAGAACCATAAATCACACTGGTAAAAACAGAATTGATCTTCCAACTTCACATGAGGCTTCTGCTGTAACTCCAAGCAGCTCTCCCATGCAGAGTCAGTCTATGCAGATGATCAGACTGTTCATAAAGTGGTGGGTTACAAGCAGGTTGACTTTTCATGGCATCATTTAGACACTAGCTACACAGAAAAGGGCACACAGAAATGGATGTCTTATTGTTTACCCCTGCATCCAGTACTTTCGTCTGCACTATTCATCTTCAGTCTCAGTTATACAGTAATTTATGAAAGAGAAAAAAAAGAGAAACCCCATGAATACCAGAATGAAAGAACCTTGATGTCTAATCAGCCCTTGTGACTCATTGATATTGATGTCTGGAAAGGTACAAGGCCAGACTAAGGCTTACATGGGCTTTTTCCTGTGGAATTCAGTGTTTAGTAAGGCATAAGTTCCCAGTGGGAATTTCCCTCAGTTGGGGCACTCATAAGACACACTTGTAGGATCTCTCTTCCTTTTAAATGATTATTTCTATGTCTTGCAAGAACTTAACTATTGTAAACCTGCCTCTCTGTCACCTATGGTTGAATCTGGTTACGAGTTTCAGCATTATCCTAATTTCTGTAGGAAAACAGAAGAAACTTGTGTTTCTTCTTCACATTTTTATTTTGATCAAAGATTCCTCTCCTTAAACTTTGTCTTGTCTACAGGAATACCACAGTACGGAGCAGGTGAGGTAGCAATGGATTGTCCCCCTCTGATGTAACCTCTTTTGGTGATGATGGCCTGGGCTGAAGTCTTTAAACAACACAGGCTGTCAGGCTGTCTTTTCAACAGCCACAGGACAGCTCACAGTGGAGACTACTGATCAATTGATGGCTTATGACACTGTACAGGATACAGCACTGGCTTTACCTTTTTTTTTTTTGTTTTGTTTTGCTTTCAGTTCCCAGGTCATCCTGAAACCTGAAGTTGGATGGTAGTTCTGAGGTTATTCCACTTCCCACTCTAACACTGTCTTCTCCTAAATCACTTTTGGTTTACTATTTTTTTAAACTCTGTTGTACTACATGCCCTTTTCACTCTGTGTTCCTACACATAACTTTGATGTTGTTACAGATCTGAAGACAACTAAAATAAATCTGTTGTCTGATATCTTATTTATTCACCAAGCTAACCAGCCCATTTTGGTTTCCCATCTCTTTTTCTTTGCCTATAGAAGTTCAGAGCCCTTTCTCTGACAAAACAACCCACCGTCCAGCTCCCACTGCCTGATGCAGCCGTCCCTTTAACAGAAGGCACATCTGTGGCAGCTGGGGCAGGCAGTGCCTGACTTGAAATGAGTTTTGCAGTTGGCCACATTTCAAAGGGGGCTTTTAACAGACAGTAAGGAAATTTCATATTGCTAAGAAATATGACAGCCACTTGGAGGTGGTAGTGAGCAAATGTTTTAATGAAACTAACGTTTACCATCAAACCTATGATTAGTTAGGTTTTCAAAAAAATTGAGAAGTGAGAGCTGCTGGACGCCTATGAAATGTGCTATAAAAGCAGGTGCCATAAAACTGAGACGATATAAATTTGCAGACTAATTTGATTGCTAGTGCAGATGCATAGCTGTTAATGCTCTACGGTTGATACATTAGTGGCAATTGAAACAAGTCTGGATTATTCCATTTTCAGTAAACAGAGCATGAGGTTGGCTGTAAATGGTCTGTTTAGCAGAACAGACTGAACATACGAAAAATTATTCATTATGAACATTTACAACCCACACATGTCATTTATATCATTTGACCACTCAACATAAAAGGTTTATTGTTTTTGGCAAAATAAGCTGCAAACATCTCTAATTGGGATGCAAATTTAATGCACAGTTTAGCACTGTTGACAGCTAAAAGGCTCATATGGACATTTCCATACATTTTTCCACTTACGTTACAGATGGTGAACAGCAGATACATAGTCAAGAGCCAAAATTATTTCAAAAGTGTAGTATTCTTGTTTCACAATTTTTATATATTTGTCAATATCACAAGACTGACTAAGATTTTCTTTTCTGGCAAAATATACAAAGTGAACAAATTAGGTTTTGTAATGAAATCAAGTCTGCGAGAAATCTTGAAAAGTTACAACTGTCTAATATTTTTCAGACTATCTGCAAAACAGCTTCTACTAAATTCCGTGTACAGGTTTGATAACTCTTAGCCTCTGGTGCCTGCCTACTGGCAGAAGTGGCTTACGTTACAGATCACAAAGTATTGTTGAATGCTTCCATTTTCCAGTCAGTGAAGTTCAATTCATGTAAACACCTGAGACATAATGTTGGCTAGCACAAGCCAGATGAGGCCTGATGTATGCCCTGTCAAATTCAGGGTAAGATTTGTATTGATTTTAATGGGAGTTTGATCAGAATTATTGGTTATATCTACATGTACAGAACTGTCTATGGCGCTGATGCCAGTTGGCCTAGAGAGTCCTATTAACTTTATTAGAGTTATTAAATGCTATTACCATTCAAAACAGACTGGTTGCATGAAACCTGCCTATGAGGAATGGTTCCTTGTCTGCACTAGCTCCTAGGCCGTATCCAGAACAGTGCTGGCTGGCCCGGGCCAGCGCTGTGCCAGGGAACATTTAACAGCACAGATGACTGAGTTTCAGTGACTCTGCACAGTTTCCCATTGCAGATGTAGCCACTGTGCAAGCCACTTTGCACTGGCTGAGCACAGGGCAAACCTCTCCACTTATGTGCAGTTAATGCAATCTAATCCTACATTGATTAAATTGTCTTTTGCTTTTGATAGTAAGTACAGGACGGCTGGGTCACTGGCTGACACCATTCAAGTAATTTCTTTTTTGTTTTCTAGATGTATTTAAATCTGTGTTGTAGATGTTAACAATTCTTTGTATCGTACAAAATCTGTATAAAGTGCTAATTCTCTTAGATCATAAAGCTCTGAACCTTTCTAATCGTGTAATAATTGTTTCCCATTTTTTTAAACTGAAAGGCTAGGAAAGCATGCTTATGTCAAATATTATTACTATTCTTCAAGTGCTATGCAAGAACATTTCAGGATTTCCATAGAAGTTGCATTCAAGCCTCTTTGTCTTTACCTGCATATGATTCTGAATGTTCTGCATAGTGATTATTATTTTTTCATCTTTTGATCAACATAATTGTGTTTACTTCTATCTTAGTATCAAGCTATGCTCGTGCCTTGAATTTTTAGAATGTGTGAGTAAAGTACATTGTAAAGTATGCTTACATGCACTAAAAGAAACTTGTAGAAACTTGTGGGTTAGCTGCTCTTGAACAATTCAATTTACTCTAATGATCTGCAAATAAGAAGTGGAGCTTTCCTCCATTTACACAATGTTGCCAACAAAAATACCAGGCTACTCAGAAGTGCAGAAAAAAAAAGAAGTGTTAGAAGTGTTACTTCATCTGGGAGTAGAAACTGATCCCTTTTGATGTAAATTGCAGCTTCATATATGAATATCACTACATATTACACCTGTGACTGTTTAACTGTCATCATCTAAAAATCACATTAGTGAAAACACAGCTCAGTAAGTAACGTACCGGAGTCATTAATAATCCATTAGCTGTTACTCACACAGTTATTTAGAAAGCTGCCAATATTATCATGTTTTCATTAGTAAAATTTCCCTTTGTTGTAAAGGGAAATGTTTCCATTGTAATGTAAATGAATATAAGACTATTAAATAAAATTGCTTCAAGTGAAATTACAGCTCTAAATAAATATATATATATATTTTTTAACTTACAAACTACATAAAGCTCCTGTGCATGACCCTGTAAGTCCTGTTTTGGGCTAGCTCCCTTCCACATGGATAAATCTGCCCTGTCATCCTTCACCACAAGGCTGAACTCTCTTTTGAGTAAATAGACCCAGAACATGGCCAGAATACCCTTCATACTGCAGCTCTGCCATCTCATCAAGTTTAGCCCCTTTGTGAATACTGAAAGAACTTCTAGAAACTGTTTTTTCTCTTCCAAGCCAGTTTACCACAAAAAAGTGCATACAAACCTAGCATAAGCATAACATACCTGTATCTTGATTTCTGCCTTTTTACATTGCTAGCATGGTATAAAGGGAAATTCATAAAAATGAGAATTCAAACTTGACTACTTTATTTATAATCAGATTTGCTTAAAAAGTGAGAAGTACAAATCCTTTGCTTGATTCTATTAAAATGCTATTGATTTCTGCAAAAGAGAGAGCTAGGTTAGTCACTGTTTATTACTAAATGCCACAGCTTTGCACAGAAAAATACAGAGTTAATTCAATTGTCAAAACTCTTATCTGTTTGTCTATTGCATTGTATGAAGAACTTACTTTATTGACTGGAAGAATGTTTTTCACATTGAAGTAGAATCCAAAGTAAACCATGTTGAAAACTCCGTGACGGCCCAGTGTTGCAGTAAGACCTTTGTTGAGTCCTTGGAAGCCCAGACCATCGATTTTAATGATCTGCCGAGCTTGCACAAAGCTAGATGGTTGCTACATAAGTGAAGCAAAAGAAGGAAGAGATCATCTTTACAAAAAGAAAACAATAACCATAGCATCATTTCAATCCTGTTGACAAACACAGTGTTGCCAATTCTTGTCATTTTATCTTGTCTCACCATATTTGTTATTTTTCTTTTCCTGTGATCATGTAGAAATCACAACTTTAATTAAAAAAACAAAAAGATTCCTCATTTTTCTAATTGCAGAAAAAAAATGAAAACATGACTTGAGTACTGTCAAAGACTAAGGCTCACTAAAGTAAAGGTCTTAAAATATTCATTAAAAAAATATAGATTTTATAGAGGAACATGTGGCTTTGAATGTGTGAATTTGGCAACAGTTTTTTTTATCATTGATCCAGTGCTGTTAAGATTATGACAGATGAAACCCTTACACAACTAGAGTATATAACAATTATTCTGGACAATAAGAAGATAAACCCAGCTTCTCTAGTAAAACCAAAGGCACAGGAATATGCATGGTAAGGGAGTGATAAAACGGACTGGATTTGAACAGAGAATTTTTGAGCCATTATGGTTATAGAAGCAAGTCCTTGGAAACCACAAATTAGAGCAGCAAGGAGGGCTATGAATATTTGTGTTGAATATCACCTCAGCAGTTTCCAAATGCAATAGGGCCGAAAGGGTGACAAAAGGCATATATAGTGTCTGGGAACCCTTCTGGATCCTCTGAGGCTCTTCATGCTGTTAAGAATGAAAACTACTGCTTTAAGACACTGACTTTTGAAGGAGTTACTGGGTACACAGCACTTTTTAAAACCAGATCATATGTTAAACTTTCTTTTAGTGTTGAAAATCTTGAAAAGAGGGTGGGGTTTTGTGTTTTATGGTTTGTTTTTTTTTTTTTTTTTTTTTTTTTTTTTTTCCTTAAGCATCCAACTGGAAATCCTGTTTTGCCCTCTTAATGGATTATTTGATTGGAAAAGTATAGTTAGATCTTGAAAATCAGAACACCCATTTAAAATTCCAAGGTACAAATTTAGGAAATTGACTTCAGAAATCCTGTTTTGAAAATACTGCCCAAAAGGCACAGAAATCATTTGAGTCAGCCAACTTCCATTTAACAAAAGGAAGAAAGCAAGAAACCTCCTCAGAGTCCACTTATATAATGATCAGTTCCTCAGACAGGATCTGCCTGACTACATACATATTTGGTCTATTTTCCAATATAATGTGATACTCAGAAAAAGGTGTTCTCCTTCTGAACATTTTAGATTTTTTTTGGTAGAATTATAGAAAAGTTTCTTTCAAAAAGTTGTTGACTTGAGCTTGGCTTTCTCCAAAGCATAAAGCTAGCTCTGGGTAACCAAATATTTAATTAGAAAGGCAAAACATGACTTCCACTAGGAGGCTCAAACATGAAAATATAGAAGAATTTTGACTACAACGATGTGAACACTGCTAATTTCAATACACTTATTTGCTTAATAGCTTTCCATTTCAAAATATCACTGTGGTAGATCAACAGCGTCAGCCAAATGATGCCTCTTATATCTGACAGAGCATATGACTGCTTATTTAAGTGACTGAGAAGTTTAGTCTTTAATACTAAATTTCATTCAATTTTTAAATATTTGGTAACTAATATTATCCTGTTAATGATCTGAGTACATTTTACTATAGTTTACTTTTCTATCTACCCTCAAGGATTAAAATCAGAATCTATTCCAAAATGTAGATACCTGACATGGAATATAGTCCAGACACTAGCAATAGCATACTTTCTCATGAACAAAAAGTGAGGATTAAATCTTTAAAACATAACCAATAGCCCTGAATGAACTTATTTAAACTGAATACAGCACCTTTCAATAGCAAGCTATCCCTTGGTCTCATCTTGAATACAGATTTACTAATGACTCAGAGGGGAAACCTGTCTTGTGCTGAACACATGAGATGGGATTCATCAATCCAAATGTAGATACCTGCAATGTCTACATCCATATGTGAGCTACTAAGAAAGATGCCCTTTTTCAGTCCATTAGCAATAAAGAGGGTTCTCTTAGACAGCACTTCAACCGAAGTAGGCATCTAAAATGTCAGCTGATCAAGCCATAGAAGGTCTGCGCTTCATCACTGGTGATGGAAGGACCTTAGGATGGAGGAATTAATTGTATAAACATCTGGAGTTGATTCACTTAACTGTTGACTTAATAGAGATCTAGTCAATGGCATCTGCAGTCAGATTCTTCTCATCATAAAGCAGAAACTTGTATTTGTTTAATTAATCACAACTCTTAAGTCAGGTGAGATTTTTATTACCACACCAGATTCTATAGCCAGTGAGTTATCCATGGCTTCAGGGAAAAGAAAAAAAAATAAAACAAAATAACAAGGTGTTGGGCCTTCTAGCAGTTTATCTTAACAAAAAGTTACCATTATTTTTACCTGTAGCAGTCCACATTACAAAAGTGACGATACTTGATTTACAGTGGCCTTCCTCTTTAAACCTATCAACCCTTGAAAGATGATCTGGTACCACAGAATAATTCAGCTGTCACCATAGTGTGTGAATATTTGCTTTGGGGGTGTGCAGGAGTCTGGGTGTGGGTGTGTGTTCATGCTCTTCCTTGTTCCTTTTAAACAAGATATATTTATTATTTCAATACAATAGTCAGAGAAATATGTGAACTGCATTAGGTTTCATCATATAGTATGAAAGCTACACAATGGGATAGGTATACTTTACTTAAACCTTTTAGAAAAACAGTTCGTGGTAATGAAATGAGTGTACCACTGCTTTACACTGCATAATATAACATGCACATGCTTCTTTCAATAGATTTGAATTTACATGCTCTAGTGTGGAATGTTCTTTAACATATTCTTAATGAGAACTTAAGATCATGGTAATGAAGTCAAAGGAGTTTTCCTGATTTACAGCAAAATGTGAAATTCAAACACTTTTTTTTTAAGAGATATATTAAAAATTAATATGTCTGCGATTTAACTATCTGTGATTTAGAACTTCGGTCCCTTGGATTTATTTGTTAGGGCAAATTTATTTATATTTTAGGTGTAGACTAGGTTCCTAATGGAGTCCCAATAGCATTCTTTTACAATTTTATTTGTATAATATACTATTGTTTGGATTTTGTGAAAACTTGAATTTAAATGAAATTAAATTCAAAGAATATTCACCTAGACCAAACCAGCTAAGAATGCTTTTGAACAGATACACTGTGATTACTGGAGTATTCTGAAGGTCACCAGGGAAGGGATGCTGTAACTAAAGTGCTTAAAATTTACACACTAAAACACCCCAGCTTTTATTATAAAATTTGCAATAGAGAAAAAAATTAAAATGCATGAAGTGAAAGGATATATTGGTCTCTTGCAACTTACAGGAACTAGTTTGTTCAAAATATAATACTGGTGTATCTATACTCAAAACCAGAGGTTTTATTAAGGTAGGTTAATTGTATCTTCATAACTGTAAGGCAGAAAGATCCAGATTATCTGCGTAATTTACTACTACTGGAGCAGTAGTAGTCCATAATTTTTTCGTATCACCTTCATGAGAGAGAGATCCTCTCACATATTGCTTTCTCCCACTTTCAGTCTCTCTCCCTCCAGGATCCTAACCTTTTTACTCGTGTACTCTGTTAGCTCTCTGTTTTAGTGGCTATGCTGCCCATGGTTAAAAAATGTCTAGGCTGGAGATTTGGAGGAACCAAACATCTCTTTTGCATGCATTGAGAATTGAACAGAAATTTACCAAATGTTTAGTTCTGGAAAAGAATGTTTCTCTGGATGAGTTATGGAGTAGGTACCAGCTAGTCTATGATATTTGGAAATCAGTGGCAATATTTTGTCAGTGTGTACCTGAGGAGCTTGGCCCAAACATCTTACGTAAATGGCCAGGTGATAAATCTCTTTACTGTGCATCCCCCAAAAGGGTTCAATGTGTGCAGATGAGTGCTACAAGGCATGAAAGTATTAACTCAGTCAAAACTTAATAGTAGAATATGAAAAAATAATGCTCTACCAGGGATTCAGCTAACCTCTTCATGCCATGCTTATGTGATTTGGCACCTCTACCATGGTATCTCTACCATGGATTTCTCAAGAGATTTTGAAAGAGCTGATTTGACAATTGTTAGTCTTATTCAATGAGAAAAGAAAGAACCGTGTGACTGCCTGCCTTCACTTTAGCCTGGATCATTTTCTACATTAAAATTAACTGAAGCCGGTACATTCTTGGGAACACTTGCTTTTGATGAATCACTGTTTTCCAGTTTAATCTGCTTCCCCTTTCACTAGTACCCAGAACCGTGGACAAAGTCAGTTTTGCACACTGACTTCTTTGAATGAAACAATATTTGAATAATAAAACTCTGAAGTGAAACAGGAATTTAAATTATTGGTGTGCCTTATTATATAACGATTTCCTGGTTTTTGTTTATAAATAATTTAATCCAAGACTCTGAAATCTACCAGCTATGTTTTAAACATAAAATATACCAGCTGGACCCTGGCTAGGGCATGGGGCCAGGATGTTTTGTGCTAATGTTTGGTGCTCACTTGAAGTCTGGAGCCTGCTGGAGTAAATGCACTGTGTACAAGGAATTCTTGTTTGTAATTCTGGATTACAATTCCTCACAATGATGGGCTGCTGGCTACTCTGGGGGGGTTAAAGGTGCACTTTTGACACAGAATATTGACAGTGGAGATGCTGACACTGCTGACAATACTGTATGCATCTCTGCGTATCTGAAGGCATCGTCTGTTAAGTCTCTTTGTTTTTCCATTTCTGTTAAGCTTGTGGGAAAATCATTTGCATCAACCCAATATATTATAGACATTTGGCGCTAAATAGGAACTTTGAAATGCTTTATGCCTAATAAAGCGGAAAAAGAAGAATGGAGCAATTCTCATACCTCTGTGAAGGCATTCCGATTTGCCTGTAAGGTAACCTTTACTACTTCAAAAGGGTTAACCACAACTGCCTCTGTCAACCCAGATCCCAAGCCAGCAACTGCAAATGCCTAGGAAAGTTAAAATTAAAGTTAAAAACTACAGAGTAAATTTTTCCATACATCAGATTATGAAACTGAATGATACAATGCAAACTGTGAGATTACAGTAATGCAGCAGTATTCTATTACTAAATAACTTTAGCCCTTGTTTAGATGCTGACAGTTCATGAAGACAATATGACAATAGCCATGAACTGCATTCCAAATAATACAAAATAAAATGTCATAGCACTGTCAATGAATTCTCTTTTCAGCTGGAAGAAAAACTGTGGTACCAATTTATTACGAAAACATGGAGAAACAATGCCCTCATGTTATCTTTGGGTGGAGTCTGAATAAAAACACAAATATAAATGCAGTTATGCAGCACTGGAAAATATAAAAACTGTGCACTGAGCACTAAGCATATGCCACTAACATGTTAACTTAAAATAAATGTAAGAAATTAAACTAGTGTAGTACTTCATCAAATTGCACAAGTAGAAGAGAGGTTCTCCTAAGTAAATATCAATCCTGGAAAGGCTTATATGGGAAGGAGGGGGACACATGGAAATGTCAGCATTCACTGCAGGGATGAATTAACTCCATTTACTTAGATGCTGATGGTACATTCCAGCCATAGACATGGAGATATTTACTACTTTGCTTTCTATCATGACCCAACATTTAAAAATATCTTAATTTGTTTGTAACAGAAAAATAAAATTGAAATATTTAGCTCAACTGAGAAAATTCAGTGGAGTTAATTTTAGTGATCACTTTACACATTTATTGCCTCCATTTAACATCTCCAAACTTTCTAGGGGCTGAAAAGACTCCCAGGACCAAACTACAATATACTGAGAACATTTGCTGAAATTCAAGGAAACCAATGGTAAGGAAAAAACAATAGTGAGAAAAAACTTATTCAATACAGACGGATTTGAGCAGGGACTCTTGAGAGCTCAAGAAATAGAAGAATGGTAAGTCAGAAGGGTAGTGGCAAGCTCCAGCCTTACTGCCTTTGGAGAAGACTGTGTTACCAACAAATTTATTTTTCCAATATGAGGTGGGAACTTAATCTATCCCTTTCATCATCAACCATGAGACTGAAGCCAGCAGGAAGATGGTGCTAATGTATGCATCTCTCTTTTAACAATAAATGTCTGTCCATAAGGTCTGTTGAGGCCTCTAGAAGCACTCTGCCTAGCTTAGATGAGAATCTCTCTCAGTCGTCTTTTACCTTTGCTACCATGGCTATCTTAGGGGCAAAAATGCCCCTAGAGTAGCAGTATTGCATCAAAAATGTCAGGGGTGTTTGATGGTTGCTGCATCTGCCATATGAATCAGAGCAGCTTTTGGTCAGCTACTGCATGTTTACAAGTTTCCAGCATATTTTCCTCCAAACAAAGTGCTCATGTACCATGGAACCTTCAACTCTGTTCTTTCCACTTGCTAGGGTACAAATATCAAGCCCTTTGATTTACATCTAAGGATGAGAAGAGCCTGCTGAAAAATACAAGATAAAATAGGAGATGCTATAAACAACTGTAGGGTCAGTGGAATAATTAAGAGGAAGAGGAAACTTGCTTTAAACTAAGTAATATGATTCCATGACCATTCACTCTCGGCAGTAGAAGGCAGATGTAAATGGAAGCAATACTGTTTGAAAGAGACTTGAAAGAGACCAAAACCTTTACATCATAATCATAAAAATATCAATTGTTTCCTACAGTTGTGATGCCACTATTGTGAAAAATAGATATTTACTATTACTTACATTCTTATACCACAGAAAGCAGTAATTCTTATTAAAAGTATTTTATTCCAAATGGTACAATAGCAGAACTAACTTCTATATATGAGAACACAGACAACACATGCAAGCTACATCTTAGCATGAAAATATTTTTGTGTATATGTATGTCCTGTATTTTGATTTTAAAATAGTTATGTTCTTGAGATTAAATCCTAACTCCACTGATGTATAAGAAAATTTTGCCATTGACTTCAAGGGAGGTAGCAGTTTCTTATCAACAGTTTATGTTTCTATTGTAAAGTCTTTAGAATAACACTGAGGTCTGTATTTATTATAGTTGCACTGTACCTTGTAGAATAGCACTTTGAGGTTGAGGTATCAAACTAGTCACTATCACATGAATAAATAAATACTGATAATGTTTAACTTTTTTTCGTTATTTTGCAAGAACAAAGAATGACAATCTGCATACAGACTCCCATGATGACTGTCACTATCCATGTTAACAAATGTTATGACATTGTAGAGAACTAATTTAAAGACATCTGATATAAAAATTAATGTAAATACAATTTTGATAAATTCTTTTATCAGTATTTTCATGGGACAAGTCTGTTTTGAAAAACAGTTTGTTGAACTGGCCCCTTTAATTTTGGGCTACCTCTATGGGAGGAAGTGGATGGGACTTTTCAGTATATACATATTAAACTAGAACCTGAGGTTTTGTATCCATACATACCAGTCCTGGTGGCAATGATGAATATCCTAGTAGCTTCTTGTATTGTTCGAAGGTGAAAAACTGTAAATAAAAGTTAGACTGAAATCGTGTTGAAAAAAATGATGAGTTACTTATGCAAATTAATAAACCCAAACTACAGTGGAGCTTCACTACCTTGTATCCCAAGTAGCTGTGTGCAGTTCTGTAAAATAAACATAAGCCACTTTTGTTTCACACTGTCTGTAGCAGTGTTAGATGTGCAATAGTAGACAATTAGGTTTCAGAACTGATTTTATTAATGTATCATGCATAATAGTAGTGTAAGTGCAATTAAAGTAATGTTTTATTTAAGAGTTCACTTACAACACATAGTTTCTGTTCTTAATTTATAAACTTTTCCTCTAACATTGAACTTTCACATACTGATACAAATGCAGTAGCAGATACTATAATTTTTCCCAAGAAATCACCCTCACATCTTTAATATAATATACTGTAATCACTTCTACATTTCTCAGATACTAGTCTACTTCTCCTCAGAGAGATGTAATTGCAGATTTTGAAACTGGCAAGTCTGTAGACTTTTATAATATTTTACTGTCAACAGACACATTTCTTTTAGTTTTTGCTCTTTACGAATAAATATTTCATCCAATTGTCTACTTTCAGTCAGTGGTGATCAGAAGTTCTGAGCATCTGTAAATCCTCAGAGGATGAGTTTTGAAAGCTGTACTTTTGGGTGTTTGAACTTCAAGAAAGAAATGAGAAGCTCAGTTTCACCTGCACCAACATGGAGAAAGGCAACCATTTGTAAATGGTTCACTTTGCAACCTAACTTCTCTTGCCACCCAAGTCCACTTCTGTGAAACCATCTAAAAATCAAAGTAGAATAAATTAATGGATTTATTCTTACAAGAAGAGTGTTGAGAATATCCCTGACCACACTGAAGTCAGCAAGAAGCTTCCCATTGACACAGGCAGACAGACTTTCACTGTCTATTTCCTTGTCTGTGGACACAAAGTCTAAGATGCATCAGCCAAGGTATACTCTAAAGAAAGATCATTTGTGACATTTTACAAATTATTGGTAAGAAGCCCTCTGAAATACAGCACACAGTCCTGGACACCTTCATTCAAAAAAGATGAACTCAGACTACAGCATATTCAAAACAGGGCTATCAGGACCATAAGGAGAACTTAAAGATTTTTTTTAGAATGAAGAATGAAGGAGAATAAATGCTTGCCTTGTTTAGTCTAGCAGAAGAGATGCTGCAAGAGAATGAAAAACAAGGAAAGGGAAGATATGTAACATAAAGTAATTTGGTATAAAAGTAAAAACTACTCATAAATAGAATGTGGCTTGAGATCTGATGAAGTTTTCTTACAACCAGAAGAGTGGTGTCCTGAAACAGTCTTCTAATAAGGATAGTGGGGGGAAACATTAATTGCTTGAAAGGGAGAGTTTGGTAAGTTTTTGAAGGAGATTATAGAACAGCAGGGGACTAGACTTGCTGACCTAAGAGATCCTTTCTAGTCCAGTGCTTCCGTGTACAGCAAATCTCCCCAAGCCCCATATTGTTTCAAATTCATATTCTGCAAATATGACGCTGAAGCCACTGAAAAAGCACTTCAGGTTGATGCCACATAAGACAGTTCTGAGGGCAGTGAAAATGATCTTCTAGCATGAGGAATAAGGACAGCATAAAATCTTGCAGGTTATAAAGAGTAGATATTTGAACTCTAGGTAAAACCCAAGATACTGGAGGTGTTATTCCACATAATTTTCACACGTGGAACATCACAAGACCCGTAACTACAGCTTACTATTTGTGAGTCCTGTAATCTGTCCAAGAAATGTTCATGACTTTGCATGCAAAAGGAAAGCAGCTTTTACACAGCACAGAACATCAAAAACCTGTTGCAGCTTCACCAAGACTGCATCAGTGCAGGTGAATAGCTAATAGAGCAAGAGCTGTCACATCCCTGAAAAGCAAAAGTAAATAGCTAGAACCTCTGACTTCCCTGGCTACTTTCCAAAGCTGACCTGTAACACTTGATTAGTTTAGAGCAAAGGTGGGATCCTCTGAAAGTCTGTGCATTTCACTCCCACACGTGAGGCTGTTATCCCTCCACGTAGCACCTGCCCATGCATGTGACAATCAAACTGTTTCACCACGAGAGGAAGGTAATGGGAAATGAGGTCAATGGAGATGTGGGAATCATAAGAAACATAAGGGAATAGAGTTTTGCAGACAAAACAGAAAGACTGTGTGACCTGTGCTGGGTCTCGGCCAAAGAAGACAAACTCAGTCCCTTACGGCTCAGTTACCACAGACCTATCAGAAAAAAACAGCTTTTCCATAAACCACGTGTACAGGAACAGGAATAATAGGCAGCACATTGTCATTTTAACTTGTTTAGAACCCTGTCTTAGGGCAAAGTCAATAATATTTTTCAATCAAGAACCGATTCAAATAAAAAGTCGCCAGAATCACACCAAAATTATCAGAGAACTGGGTGTCAAGGTGTTAATAATGCCACAATATTTAAAGCAGGAGGAAATATGTATACACAATGCAAAATTAGGATGTTAAATTCTTGAAACTGAAAGACTGATATTCTGGTCAGTGGATAGATACTTTTTTTTTTTTTATTCTAAGCAGGGGTTATTATCTCATTTTGCAGAAAAGGTCCTAGAATTGGGGGGCCGGATTTTTACTGCCCTCCAAATAGTGTACAAACTGAACACTAATCTAGCAAACATCCTGCAAATATGTTTAAAATTGTTGTACTGGCCTTGCCAATAATCAGAAAAGATAGAAGTGTTACTTAGACTGTAGGTCTATTGTTTTGGATAACTGAAGATATTTTATAGGTAAGAGGAAGTCTCTGAGAAAGTGTCAGTTGTGGGTGGGTGAGTTACTTCATTGAACTAAATTAATTTCTTACTGTGAGGAAGTTTGCTTTATTCTCTCTCCAACATCTTTCTACTTGTTGTTACCCTCCTAACCTTTAATGGAATTTCTGGTATTCCTTAATGTTTTCCATAGTGTTATAGATCTGTAAAATGGTTGTAATAAAGGCAAAAATACATTACCTAGCAATTTTTTGGTCTTAAAAATGTTACCTTAAAAATCAAAAGCTTCCTAGGGTCATAAATTAAATAACTACTTAATAGTAACTATGCTTTATATGATTTCTTAAAGAAAACAAATCAATAGCAATAAAACTTAATATAAATGTTTCTGGGTGTACTAGAGTGGCTAGTATACATACAAGTTTGCCAAAAAGTATCTAGCTATATCATATGGATTTATATTATGTATGTCCACCCAAAATGTTTTTAAAAACACAGCATAATCTGCCTTTTTCTCTACAGTTGTATTAAATTAATAGTTTTGCACACAAAAAAAAAAAAAAATCCCAGAATAAATGTATTTAAAACACACTTTTGTGTATATAATAACCAATATTGTCCATCTGGCAAAGATACACTTTAATTCAACTTACACAGAAAATAGCCAAAGTACTTACCAGATGTCTCAATAACTCTAAGGTAAAAATATATGCTTGAAACAAGATGTCTGGAAACACATGAACAATATAAATTTGCCCCAAAAGTTCATCTGTTAACCATTGTATTGGCATCATCACTTCTTTCCTCCAAGTTCAATCTAACATAAAGTTATAAAGTTTGACTTTTCATCTTCCAGAAATACCAGCTTTCTTTACAGAAGGGAAATAAAGAGAGAGAAAAAAAGAAATAGCAAGACAGACATGAGAACGTAGTTGACTAAAAGTGAAGCTGTATCTTCAACACTTAGCTGAATAACTGAATCTAAATAACTTAATTTTAGTAGCTTTATTTGTACTTGCAAATATCCACACCAGATAAAGACAATATACCAGTAGCACAAACAAATTTCTTCTTAGTACAAAATCTCCCTTGTCCATTCTCTATACACTTTTATGAGATATAAAAGACAATATAACTAGAAGTTTTCAAAAAAGTTCATTACAAATATAAACTAGGCTGCTGGAACCTAGAAATTGCCTCTCTATCTTTTGTGCTTTCTCAAGTCTCAAAACCATAGGCATGGACATAATCTTCCTCTAAATCTCACTAGTCAGTTTGGCAGTGGACAACGGACAACTTGGGGCCTATTAAAATGAGGAAAACTATTAGAAGAATAAAAGGTGGAGAGTGAGCCAAAGGAACCAGTGACTTTTCCACTGGGGTCATATCCAAATAAGGTTAGTGGAAATTTGAGACTTGCTGGATTCTCTTCAGGTCAAAGCATAGGTACAGACTCCACTTTGCATGTTAGAAATTGTGCTCACGTATAACATCTCATATTGAATTACTTCAATATCCAGGTTCTTACAAGGACATTCCTGTCCTGCCCTATTCTGACACTGAATTCTTCTGAAGTAGAATATAGCTGATGCCTCAAGGTAACTTAAAGTCCTCCTGGTGTCCTAGGAACAGCGTAACATTTAAAGGAATAGTGTAAAGAAGCAAAGAATTCAATGATTTAATTAAAAACATGTTTAGCATTTAAACCCAATTCTCATGGTTGCAGAAACACTACTCAGCCCCCGTGTAAATGCCCAAGAATTAAGTAGAAAGCATCCCAATAAGACAGCACCAGTAAGACATTTAAGGAGCTGTGAGCATGTGATGTACAAGAGGCTGGGAGAACGGAGTCTGTTTAGCCTGGAGATGAGAAGGCTAAGGGGATCCAATTCCTGTCTTCCACCATCTAAAGGTTATACGGACTTTCTCAGAGATCCACAACATAACCACCAGCGGTAATAGCCAAATGTTGCAACAGGGAAATTTGAATTGGGTATAAGGCAAAATTCTTCACAGTGAAAGCAATTAAGCACTGCAGCAGGAGCACAGAGAGGCTGCAGTCTCCATCCTTGAAGGTTTTTGGAACTTGACTAGACAAGGCATCCAAGTGACCTGATCTAACCATGAAGTCAGCCCTGCTTTGAGCAGGAGGTTCACTAGACGACCTCCAGAGATCCCTTCCAACTTAAATCTTTCTATGATTCTATAATTATATTGAGTATTGTGGGGTTTAAGCCAATTTAATCAATTTGAGTAAAAGAAAGTGACCCAAGATTTTTGAATGACTCAGGTTGGTAGGAGAGAAATAAATCCTGGGTTTGTATTTTAACTAAATATATGCTGGAACCTAAAAAGCATGATCAGATTGACTTTGACCTGTTCCAAATAAAATGAAATGGAGAGACAGAGAAAAAATCACAGTCCGAAGAAAATGAGTTGCTAGGAATCTTCTAAATATAATCCACTGATATTCTTCACTGTCACTTTGCTATGAAACAGAACTTTAGTTTTCTTAGTGGTATTAAATAATTTTGAGATAGGTGACATATGTCATTTGCATCTAAAATGCCAATGCAAACAAGAAGATGACATTACCAGAACTCCTTTAGGATTCTGTTACAAGGTCACATCCTGTCACTTTATACAAATATTATTCCTCTGTAAAGGAATTGGAATGTGAATGATTAATTGCAGACTAAGGACCAGAATCATATGTAGCCTTCTTAGAAAGAAACAAAAAAAGAAAGACAGGAAAATCAAGAGATTTTTAAACACATTTGGTGCAACTATGGGAAACTTCAAAGTTTTGAAGTAAAAGATAAAGAAACATTTGCTCGTAACACAATGGATATTTCAACAGATTTAGAACATAAGATTTAACATAAGGTGTTTAATTACTAGGTTTTAATAAAAAAGGTTACATGAGTTAACTAAAAAAACTGATGTATTGATGTATTTTGCTTAGGAATGTTACTAGAATAATGCTCTGCAAATCAACATTAAGTTTAATAAAAGAAAATCAGATCAACATTGACAGAAAATACACTTTGGTAGACTAGCATCTATTTCAGCTGTAAGAGAACTGGAAGAAAATGTTCTTTGCATGATGGAGAGTTGTACCCATTACTATGTTCAGTCTGTAAAAATATAAGAGTATGGAGTAGAGTGCTCTTTGGAGTACAAGAAAACTCTGGGCAGCATTTCAAACATACAGATACACTACTTCAAGTTACTGAGTAAGTACTTAGAAGGGATGGTTTCTTTAATAGCTTCTTGTGTTGATTTATTAAGCTGTTTTTAGTTGTTTTGCAAGTTGCTAGGCATTTTCAGTAAAACAAAATATCTAAATCAGAGGTAATTATGAGGCTAAGATATCACTTAAAGTATTTTATTAATTTTTGTTATACAAACTTATTGTAATTTGTTTTTCAGTAGCATTATATATACAGGCCAAAAATAGCCTAGCATTTAGGAGCCTTATCTTACACTTCTTAACCAAGCACAGTTTTTATTGTTCTATCAACAGGAAAGTTTCCTCCTAGTAAAAATCAGAGGATTAATATGCCAAATAAGTTTAAGATTCTAATGTCAATCAGTAGGGGAGAAATAAAATGTTTTACAGCTGCCACTGTCCCTACTCATATTTTTAAAGGAGGAAATATGGAGTTTTTACCTTCACTGCCCTTTTGGGTGTTTCAGCCAATATGGGAGGAAATATTCCTTTGTAGAAGCCAAGCAATCTATTGAAGAAAAAAAATAAATTATTTTTGCATTGATATACAACATATCATTACCACTCTGCCAATTCTATTTTCACTCTTGAGTAAAGTAACTAAACTTTCAGCATTTCCAAGCATACAGGCAAATAACGATACTCTTTGCTTAATTTCTAAGTAACTAATGTGCTACCAATTCTATTATGTGCTGGTGAGATGATATAAAAAAATCAGCAATGAATAAGTAAAAATTCAATCAATGATTTTTGGTAGACAAGAAATTGTATTTAAAGGAAGAGGAACAGTTTTGGCAATGAGGAAGTATTACTTAATTGTTTTAATTTTCTTGACATAGCAGTGATAATATTAAAAACTGAAGTCACAGAATGCAGATTTGGAAAAAACTGTGACTTCTGCAAGTTGCATACAAAAAACCTGCATGCTCATTTTCAGATGCTAGGTTAAGACATCTTTTAAGGTTTAGTTTTAAGTATGTCTCAAAATAGTTGAAGTGTTTTTTTTGACAATTTAGTTTTAACACAAGTTAGCTATTCACAGGATCACAACAGAATGTATGTATTTTATCTTGGAAAAACATTTGGGCAATATCTTGCCACTGTACTCATTCAGGTCTTTACCCCTCTCTTGCCTGGCTCCGTAAACACCGGAGGAGTTTACAATAGCTGCTGACTTCTGGAGCTGGCCTGAAGCCAAAGATCTACTTGTTGCAGTGCTTTCCTTTGCATCACCTCAATTTCATATAGACATATATATATATCAATATAGCCTGCTATAAGCACACATGGCATTTGCAGGCAGCCTGAACTCTGCTTACAAGGCCAATGTAGATGCATAATGCCAGGTCTCGGGAATGCTTTAAATGACATGCAGTTCTCAAAATCCCCAGGTGAGAGAAAAGTAGACATAGTTCTTGTCTGCTACATCTCCACATTAACCCAGATAGTGCATGGAGAGAGTTCAGAAAGGCATCTAATGCAATCAGTAAGAAGCTACCTTGCCAGCCAGCAAGGGAATACTTTACAACTTACCGATCTTCAGAGTTTATACACTTCTTTCAGGACTGTAAGAGGATTCTGTCTACAGAAGAAATTACTTCTTAAAGCAAAGCATTTATGCCTTATTAAAATGTTGAAAGTTGGTGATGTTGAAAGGTGGTGTTCACTATCTAAAACAGCCTGTTACTTGGAATATCTTTGCAGGGTGTGGAAGAGCCATCACATTAACAGATTCTCCTATAGTTACTTATGCACGTCAAACTATTAAATTCACATTTGCCATGTGAATGTAAAATACCACAAATGCTAAACTATTTTTTCCACCCTTCTAATGCTTCTCTGGAGTTCTCTTCTTAAGCTGATCCAACATAAATAAAAAAATTTAGGCTTTGTGAAATGCTCCAGAGTGGGAATGTTGCTTATCCTTCCTCTGAAGTAAGCAAGTTAAGAATTCCAGTCCATGATAAAAAGGAAACTTTAAGCATTTTATACAAAGATGGTTTCATGACAGAATACTGAAAGTCCTTGGGTAGGAGATTTCAGAAAATCAGTTGAGTCATCAAATATTTCAATTTCCCCAAAATCTCCCTTTCCAAACTTAAATATATATACATACATACATATATCTGTATCTATCCATATAGACATGGATATAACTATAGATATCTATAGATATGGATATAATAATATAAATATGGTGGATCCAGTCTTAGTCTTTCATGGTTCATACATATTCAGAGTATATTCTTGCTCATTCAGCAAGCTACTGAAATGTTGAATAACTTTAAGCAAGTGATTCATACAGTTCAATTGGAGTTCAAACTGAAACTGAGGTCCAAGTAGGATCAGCTACAGGAGCACAGATCCCTATAAACACTTTCTTCCTTTCAGCTCAATCTAAACCACTGCAAGTATATCTACAACAGGCATCCCATTTGGAATTTCTAGTGCTCTGGCGTGATTGGAATTGGGAGATGAAAAGTGGTCCATTGCTCTACTCACCTGTGTAGCTCTGACTACAAAAAGTGAGACCTGAGCTTGGTCCAGAATTTCTCATTAGTAAGAGATGCATAAGCAGAGAAATATGCATTGTAAAGCAACAATTCAGTTCTAAAACCACACAGCAGCATTACCTAGCCTTACACAGCAGTACAGGTTGCTCTTCCAGGTTGCCTTCTTGTATACTCAAATGTATGCAGCTATTGAATATATAAACCTTGTAACATTCCCACAGTCTCTGAGGATCTCAGGGAAAACATTTCAGAGAGAACGTGAAGGGGAAGGATACACCAGGAATTTGAGCAACAGATCTGCCATCTCAGCAATTTTACAAGGCAGGTAATCACTTCTAAGGAGTAATCCACCATTCTATCACAGCTCAGTGTTGAAATACCAGTGATTCAGATGATCAGCAGACCAGGTGGTAGATTCTTTGAGAACTCTAGAAAATGGGAACTGAATATATGAAAAGCAATTATTCATTGTTACTGAATCACAGAAGGGTTGAGGATTGAAGGGACCTCTGGAGATCATCTGGTCCAAAACCCTGCTCAAGCAGGGCCACTCACAGATGGTTGCCCAGGGCCACAACCAGACAGCTTTTGAGTATCTCCACAGATGAAGACTCCACAACCTTTCTGGGAAACTTGTGCCAGTGCTTGGTCACCCCCACAGTAAAAAAGTGTTTCTTGATGTTCAGGTGGACCCTCTTGTGTTTCACTTTGTGTCCATTGTCTCTGATCCTGGCACTGGGCACCACTGAAAAGAGCTGGGTTCCATCTGCTTTGAACCCTTCCTTTAGGTATTTGTGCACATTGATGAGATCCCCCCTTGATTCTCCTCTCCTCCAGGTGGAACTGTCCCAGCTCTCTCAGCCTTTCCTCATATGATAGATGCTCCAGTCCCTTCATCTTAATGGCCCTCGCTGGACTCTTGTCAGTGTGTCGATGTTTCTCTTGTACTGGGGAGCCCAGAACTGGACCCAGTACTTTAGATGTGGTCTCACCAGTGATGAGTAGAGGGGAAGGACCCCCTTCCTCGACCTGCTGACAACACTCCTCCTAATGCAGCCCAGGATACTCGTAGCCCTTTTGGTTGCAGGGAACGTTGCTGGCTCATGGTCAACTTGTTGTGCACAAGGACTCCCAGATCCTTTTCTGCAAATCTGCTTTCCAGCTGGTTGGCCCCAGTATAATACTGGTGCATGGGGTTGTTCCTTCCCAGGTGCAGGACTTCACACTTCCCCTTGTTGAACTTCATGAAGTTCCTGTCAGATCATTTCTCTAATGTGACAAAGTTCATCTGAATGGGAGTACAACCCTCTGGTATATCGGCCACTCCTCCCAGTTTTGTTTCACCAGCAAACCTGCTGAGGGCATACTTTGCTTCATCATTCAGGTCATTAATGAAGATGTTGAACAGAGTTGGATCCAGTATTGAACACTGGGGTACACTGCTAGCTATTGGCCTCCAGATAGATTTTGTACCACTGATCACGACCCTCTGGGCTTGGCCATTCAGCCAGTTTCCAATCCACATGACTGTTTTTTCACCCAGCCCATACTTCAGTAACTTTTCTATAAGGATCTTATGCGAGACAGTGTTGAAGGCCTTACTGAAGTCTAGGTAGGCAGCGTGTACTGCTCTCCCCTCATATACCAAGCCAGTCATTTCCTCATAAAAGGTTATTAGGTTGGTCAAACATGACTTCCCCTTTGTGAACCCACTACTCAAGCAGTACATGTCAACATGATACAGGTCCCAGTCGTTGCCTTGTCCTCCATGTGCCTGGAAATGGTTTTCAGGATTAGTTGCTTCATCACCTTCCCAGTGATCAAGGTGAGGCTGACCAGCCTGTAGTTCTCCAGATTCTCCTCCTTAGCCTTTTTGAAGATAGGAGTGACATTTGCTTTCCTCCAGTCCACAGGCACCCCTCCCAGTTGCTGTGATCATTTAGAGATAACTGAGAGTGACCTTCCTGGACTTCTCTTCCCTCCAGAGCCTTATACCATGTGACTTTTCCAAGCAGATCCCTGAAGAGGCCGCAGTTCTCCTGAAGTCTAGGGTTGTGATCTTGATTTTTGCCCTGTTCCCTCTTCTCGGGATCCTGAACTCCACCATCTCATGGTCACAACAACCAAGGCTCCCTTTGACCTTCACTTCCCCAATAAGACCTTCCTTATTTGTGAGTATGAGGTCCAGCAGAGTATCTCTTCTCATTGGCTCCTCTTTCACTTGTGTCAGGAAGTTATCATTAATGTCTCCAATAACCTCCTGGATTGCTTATGCTCAGCTATGTTGTCCCTCCAGGAGGTATCAAGGTTGAAGTCCCCATGAGGATCAGGGTCTGCAAATGCAAGGCTGCTTCTAGCTGTCTGTAGAGGGCCTCCTCCACTTGTTCTTCCTAGTCAGGCAGCTAACAGTAGACACTCACTACAAAGTCACCAGTATTTGTCTGCTCTTTAATCCTTACCCATAAGCTCTCATCATTCACCCTTAGGCAGAGCTCCACGCACTCCAGCTGCTCCCTCCCATAAGGGGCAACTCCCCCTCTTTGTCTTCCCAGCTTGTCCTTCCTAAAGAGTCTGTATCCCCCCACTGCAGTGCTCCAGCCATGCAAGCCGTCCACTGCATCCCTGGGATCCCAACAAGATCCCAGACCTGCAGCTGCACACAGATCTCTAATTCCTTGTGTTTACTGCCTACACTGAGTGCCTTGGTGAGCAGGTCAGCCACCCTGCAGCAAAGATACCTGTGCAAAGACATCACTGTGCATGTCATGTCAAGCTGATCTGCTTATTGCAGGTGTAGGGTCATCACTGAAGATTTTGTGCTGGAGGAATATCTACTGTGAACCAGAAGAATCTGCGGAGCTCAGCAATTATATTCATGGCTCTATGAATCCCTGAAATTTTAAGGGATTTGTAACTGGGCTTCATTGCTTTACTCCTTCTTTCCTCTGCGGAGGCAAATCTCATCATGAAAAACAGAAAGGAAGGAGTTAAGGTC